ATTGCTCACCACGGCGAGGTTCAACATTTTAACAAACTTACCGCTCTGTAGAAGGAGGTTCAACATGCTAGCAAACGCACTGTTTATCAAGGGAAGGCTCATCATGCTAACAAACTCACTGCTCGCCATGGGGTTCAACAAGCTAACAAACAGATTGCTCACCACGGCGAGGTTCCACATGTGCAAACTTACTGCTCTGTCAGGCGAGGTTCAACATGCTTACAAACACACTTCTTCTCACCATGAGGAAGTTCAACATGCTAACAAATACACAGATCAGGAGGGCTTGGTGGTTCAACATATCAACAAACACACTGCTCACCAGGGGGGGGGGAGTTCAACATGCTAACAAATACACTGTTCACTAGGGCCCCGGGGTTCAACAAACAAACAAACGCAATGATCAGAAGGGCCCGGAGGTTCAACATGCTAACAAACTCACTGCTCACCAACTGCTCACCAGGGAGAAGTTCAACATTCTTGATGGCGAAATGTCGTACTTAACAGTCTACACTCAAATTCACGTGTTGCATATTTTCGGGTGTACCTTTTCTGTTTTTCTCTCTCCCTTCTTTTCCATTCACCAGAGTCTGTGTACAATGGTTAGGCCCTAGTTACTGCACATTAAAGACATGAGTTCGATTCTCTTCTTGGGAAGTTACACGTATTAAATCAATTATCTTTGCATGTCGTCTATGACGCTGTTTCCCACTCAACGGGGGGTTGTCACTTGACAGGCAAGGTTTAGGACTCAAGAACAGGGTGAGTCAAAATTACGTTAACAGTTTAAGGGACACGTCATGCACTGGATCAGTAGATATCAACACCAACACACATCAGACGTCACACGAAGGGTGGGTAGGCGCAAGACCTTACATGCGTGTCTGAGAGCTAAGTTCAATCTTCAGAGGGGGATTACAGTAGATTGTGATTATGCAAATGTGTATGTAGGTAGACAGATAGATAGATAGATAGATAGATAGATAGATAGATAGATAGATAGATAGATAGA